GTTTAAAGGGGGTGTTTCGGGCCCGGGGGGGGTAAAAAAAAAAAAAAATAAAAAAAAAAAAAAAAAAAAAAAAAAAAAAAAAAAGACCAAAACCATCACCACCACCACCACCACCACCACCAAAAAAACAGTGGCTTTCAAGGGTCAGATGTAGACACATGCTATGCTGGGTACAGGGGTGTTCCGAATATTATTCCCTGGTGGTACTGAGTGCTGGGATTATAGGCATGTGCCCTGTTTATGCTGTGCTAAGGACTGAACCCAGGGCTTTGTGCATGCTAAGTAAGCACTCTACCAACTGAATAAAATTATAATGAATAAAATTATATGAATAAAATTATAGAGTTTGTGACCAAAAAAGCATGTCACAGGCATAAACATGGCCACCAGGAGCTGCCCTTGTTCCCTTCGGGTTTGGAGGGCTGGGGCAGGAAGCAGTTAGAGGAGGGCTGGTCGTGGACCCAGGCTGCAGTTCCACATCTCTGCCTAGTGTTTGGTGTGCTCAGCCTCTCAGGAGCTTTTAACCTATTGGAAACTAATCTTTAAATTTTCTAATCAATCTGAGCGTGGTAATGCACGCCTTTAATCCCAGCACTTGGGAGACAGAGGTAAGTAGATCTCTGTGAGATCTAGGCCAGTCTGGTCTACATAGTGAGTTCCAGAACACCTGGGGCTATAGGGAGACCCTGTCTCAAAAAGGCAAAAACAGGGCTGGAGAGATGGCTCAGCAGTTAAGAGCAGTGACTGCTCTTGTGGAGGACCCAGGTTCGATTCCCAGCACCCACATGGGGGCTAACAACTGTCTGTAACTCCAGTTCCAGGGGATCTGATGCCCTCTTTTGACCTCCGAGGGCATTGCACCACATGGGTGCACCTACCTACATGCAAGCAATACATTTATACACATGAAATAAAAATAAATAAAAATACTTAAAAAAGACAAAAACTCTTTTTTTTCCAATAAAGTATGGTGTTTAAAAAGAAAGACTGAAAATGTCACAGATTGAAGGAAAGTTAGGAGACATGATGACTAAATACAGTATGGGATCCTGGATTAGATTTTTGATCAGAGAAAGGACAGTAGGAAAACCAGCAAAATTCAAATTCTGTAACAAGTTTAGCTCATAGTATTGAATCAATATTCTTCTCCTTTGTTTGATAATTGTGATGTAATAGAAAATGTGGACATTAGAGGAAGCTGGGTGAAGGACAGAAGGGAACTTTCCTTAATATTTCATAACTATAAAATGAAGATAAAAATTTCAAAATAAAGAGTTAAAGAAAAAAAGAACAAGAAAACAGGGGAAAGAATAGAAATGATGGTAGACTTTTCAGCAGAGACAATGGAGGTCAGCACACAGCAGAATATATTTGTTATGGTTTGAATGGTGAAATGTGCCCCACAGGCTCATATGTTTGAACACTTGGTCCCCAGCTGGTGGTGCAGTTTTGGGTTTTGTAGAAACTTTAAAAGGTCAGGCCTGGGGATGGAGAGATGGCTCACTGGTTAAAAGTACCTGTTACTCTTGCAGAGGACTTGGGTTGGGTTCCCAGCACCTATATTGGGCAGCTCACAACCACCTGTAACTCTAGTTCCAGGGGAACTGGTGCCCTTTTATGGCCTCTGCAGGTACCAGACATACATATGGTACACATATATATATCAGGCATTCACACACACACACACACACACACACACACACACAAATAAAAATAAATCTGGCTGGTAGAAATAGGGTAGGCCTTTGAAGGTAATAGCTCAGTTCTGGTTCTGGTCTATATTAGTTACTTGTCTGTTGCTGTGATAAAACACCGTAACAAGGCAATTTATAGAAGAGTTTTTTTTTTTTTTTTTTTTTGGCTTACAGTTCCAGGTGGGTGGGGGGTCCATCCATAGTGATGGGGAAGGCATGGTGATAGGAGGCAGCTGGAGCAGAGAGCTGAGAGCTCACATCTTCAAGCACATACAGGAGGGAAGGCAAATTCCAAACTACAGGACTGAGGGAAGAGTACTAGAAATGGTAAATAGATGGGTAAATTAAAAAAACTATCTTTTGGTTTCTTCAGGTGAAGTAATTAACTATTTAAAATAAAAGTTTACACTGAATTACTATTTTTTGTGTGTATGTATGTAAGTGTGGTGTAGGTGCATGTCTATGTGTGTGTGTGTGTGTGTGTGTGTGTGTGTGTGTGTGTGCCTATGCACATGTATGTGGAGGCCAGAGGAGGACATGGGGGCTTATGTCCTGCTCTATTACTCTTTTCCTTATTCCCCTGAGACAAGGTCTTTCACTGAAACTGGAGCTATGCTAGCTGCCAACATGCTCCAATAATTCATCTATCTCTGCTCCCCACAATACTGGAGTTACAGGCCGGCATATGTCCATGCCCAGATTTTTATGTGGGTTTTGGGGCTTTGAATTCAGGTCCTTATGCTGACCCAGCAAGCACTCTTATCCCCTGAGCCATCTCTCTAGCCTCACTACTATGATGACAATGATGACAACGATGATGACTACTTTTATTTTGTTTGAGACAGGTTCTTGCTATGTAGCCCAGGGTGTACTCAAACTTGCCATCCTCCTGCTTTAGCCTCAAGTGCTGGGATTGAGACATATATCACTATGCCTTGCTCTGAGTTATTATGTATAGCAATAAAATAATTAGATTATAGTAGAATAGAGAATGGGATTTTGTCAAAGAACCTGTATAGTTGTAAGGTTCTTACATGTTACACAAAATGGCATACTATCCTGGTGTTTGAGGGGTCTGAGGAGGAAGTGCCCACCTCTGCACTGGAGGAGAGGGAACATCAGACAAAGTGGCATGGAAGAAATGACATTTGAGATGTTTTGAAAGAAAAGTGGAATTTTCCAAGTGGAAAAAGGAAGGAAGATCAATCAGACGGAAAGGCATGGAACATTTGGGAGTGACAAGAATCTCTTGGACTGTGTGGGTAATGAATCATGGCCAGTTGTTAGGCCTCAGAGAAGCTTAGGATCTAGTGAAACTTCTCAAGTGTCCTGGACTAGTTTTGGACTCCCTAAGTATCCAAGAATGACCTTGAACTTCTGATCCTCCAGCCTTCAATCTTCCCTAGTGCTGGGATTAAGGCATGCATAATCACATCCGGTTTTAGGTCGAGCTGGGGATTGTACCAAGGGCTGTTTGGCCAGTGCTCTACCCATTGAGCTATACCATCAGCTCTGGTCTCATTTTTATCAACTCAGTTGCCTCAGTTTTGCAGGCTGCACTGCTCAGCCACTTCCTGCCACCTGTCACTCACAGTCCTAGTATTTTCAATCACTGGAGCTTCTAGAGGTTTCCTGTCAGGTGGAAGACCTGGGACTAGAGGAAAGGCTAGTGTGGGGGTTGGGGACAGCAGGCAGGTAGTCACAGCATGAAACTGTGAGTTCGAGTTTGGAGGCAATGCAACGACTGTCCCCAAATGCTTATCTGACACCTGCTATGTGTAACCAAGCATTTTTAGAGAGGGACTCTTAGGCTCACCTTTCCTTACACGAGCTGGAGATGTGGACTTGGTAAGAGGCTTACAGTCTGCAAGAAAAGGACCAGCCCCTGTAGAGAAAGCATTCAACAGATGTTTGTTAACCAGATGAATGAGAAGGAGAATGCAAGAGATTGGAGGTAATGAAACTGCACCAGGTGAAGTGAAACAGTCTCCTGGATGCCTCAGAGGAGGTGGAGACTAGAAGGGTCCAGGAAGCGGCCACTGGTTCCTGGCGTTTTTTTCACCCAGAGCTCAGGGACCAGGATGCGCTCCCTATGGTACCTCGGGGCGGCCTGGCCGGGTTGACCCTCGAGGACTGAGGCAAGGCCTAGGGAGAGGAGCGGTTTCCCACCGCCCACTCTCAGGCGCAGGGTCCAGAAAAGGGCCCGAGAGGAGGAAGCGCGAGGCAGGGACCCGCCCCGCCGCGTCCCACCCACCGCATCCCCTCCCCTCCCTCCCGTCCCTCCCGCCCCTCCCGCCGGAGGAAAAGCGGCCGTGGACGCCGGGCTCGCTAAGACTTGCGCGGCTGGAAGGGCGGCGGGGCGAGATGCGAGCGCGGCGGCGGCCGGGGCGGCTCTGGGCGGCTCTGCTGGCGCTGGGGGCGCTGGCGGGTGTTGGCGGCGTCGGAGGTGAAGGTTCCCGTGTCCTTGTACTCGGACTGCGCGAGCTCGGGGTGGGACCGTCGCAGCGGGGAACCTGGGGACCTTGTCTGGCCCCCGCGGTGGCAAAGGCTGGGGCACGGGATGCTCGGGGGCGGGTCCTCAGGGATGCTGCAGCCCCAGCCGCAGGGTTGGGCGCTGCGAGGGCGCGTCCCCGAGCCTGGGGCTCCCCTGGGGCTGCGCTTGTCGCGGGTGGCGGAAACCTGGCGAGATGGGACTCCCCGGGGCTGTTACGGTGCATTGGCTTTGGGATGCCGCTAGCCTCCTGGGGTGAGCGCTCCTTTGCTTCTTTCTTCCTGTGTTGCACTTTCTTAATTTGGCCGCTCCCATCGCAAGGAGCGTCGAGGAGAAGCGGGATGAGGGCGCTGCCCCTTCCAGTGCCGCAGATTCTGGGCCGACCTCGCCACCCCGAAGAGCCACCATTCGGGTCTCTGGGGCTGGCTTGTTTCTCTGGCATTGTCTCTCCGGCATGCGGCGCACGTCGTCGTGGACGTTAGCATTGGTGCTGGGGAGGGCTCGGGAGCGCTCCAGTGTGGAGAGTTCTGGTGAGCCCTTGGTGATCTTGCTGGATGGAGGTGAGAAACTGAGGCTCCTGGTCGGCTGAGGCTGTCCCTTCTGCAGAGAATGCAAAAGAGTGCATACTTGTAAAGCAAGTTAGATCCTGAAGATGGGATTTCCCCCCACTCCCCTTTCAGACAGGGTCTCATGTATTTCAGGCTGGCTTCGAACTCCCTTGTAGTTGAGGGTGACCTTGAACTTCTGATCTTCCTGCCTCTGCCTCCTGAGTGCTAGGATTACAGGTGTGTACAGGGTCTATGTGCTGCTGGGACTTGAACCCAGGACTTTGTGCATGCCAGGCAAGCACTCTACCAACTAAGCAAGCTACATCCCTACATAGACTATTTTTTAAAGGCAAACATTTTAAGCTGGGGCTGGAGAGATGGCTGATTTGTTGCTCTTGCAGAGGACCCTGGTTCTGTTCCTAGCACCCACATGGAGGATGCCAACCATATGTAACTACAGTTCCAGGGGATCTGTCACCCTCCTCTGACCTCAGCTTGCATTGCATGCATATGATGCCTACATATATGGAGGCAAAATACTCAATACACATTAAAAAAATAGTTAACCTTCCAGCCTCTTCTATGAGGTCATAAATAGATATGGGATAGGTTAGGGTGTCTCGGTGGAGTAGTTATGGTTGCCCTGTAGGGTTGCTGATACTTCCCTGTGGTAGAGGTGAAAACAGGTCAATTGATGTCTTTAGCCTATTGATTGGACAGCTTGGTGGCCTCTGATCAGAAACTGGGATCTCCAGCATTCTACCCTGGAGATGTTAGAGCCCTTTTCAGCTGCTACTGACTGTTGAAGAATGGGGAAATTTACCCGGCATGTTGGTGTTTCCTACAGATATTTCAGCTCACCGACTTAAAGCATTTCAAAATTTACTACTTCTGAATTTTTATTTGACACATAATGACTGTACATACTTAAGTACAGTGTGAAAATGCATACATGTATTCATTATACAGTGATCAAATCAGGGTAACTAGTATTTGTGTTGGGAAACTTCTAGCTCCTCTCTTGATTGAGAAACATATTTAAAACTTTGTGATTTTGTTAAAGGTTTTTTTTTTTTTTGTTTTGTTTTGTTTTGTTTTTGTCTTTTTGAGACAGGGTCTCTCTGTAGCCCTAGCTGGCCTTGAGCTCACAGAGATCTCACCGCCTCTGCCTCCCGAGTGTGGGGATTAAAAGCGTGCGCCCCCCCCCCTGGCAAGGTGTTTTTTTTTTTTTTTTTTAACATTTCATCGCTTTCTAAATTTACTTCTGATGTAATCATCATCATCATTTGTACTTTAAGAAGAAAATGATAAGTTAACAAAAGATAGTGCTTAACATGGTGCTTGCTGAAGTGTTAGTAAAGATGAACTATATCTATGCTATTTTGATCTCTTCCTCCTTCTCTGCTACCTCTCCTGAACCCCTGGGTATCTCTCATTAATCTAGTTCACACAGTTGTAATGACCCATTAAGTGAATAGGCATCACACTGTTCTTAACATAAGTCTGGGTTAAAGATCCTTTAGTCGGGTCTGAGGAGATGTGAAAATGACTCAGTTGGTAAAGTTCAAGGACTTAAATCCAATCCCAGAACTCATAAAAAAAAGCTGGGTGTCCTTGTATCCCAGTGCTGGTGAAGACAGAGACAGACGGATCCCTCTGGTGAGCCAGCCTAGCCTACTAAGAGAGATCTAGGATAGTAAGAGACCCTGTCTCAAAAAAAAAAAAAAAAAAAAAAAAATTAGGTGGATGGTGTTCCTGAGGAATAGCACCCAAAGTTGTCCTCTGGCTTCTGCACAGAGGTGCATATATGCAGGTACTTGTATACATATGTGAATCTGCACACACCACACACACACACACACACACACACACACACACACACGCCCCTACCTTTTAGGGGAGCCGTTCACAGATTTTTTTGAGTTGGGATGATCCAGAGAGGTGATGGGTGTGCTAAGCTAGCCTCAGATTCCCTCTGAGCAGGTGGAGCCCTATTTAGGATCAGGGACTCTAGAGCCTACCTTCCAGAGTAATGAGCCTCCTGTAAAGGCGGTGTCTGTCATTTTCACCCCCCCCCCCCAGTGTTGGTGGCACAGTCACCTGGGGAAGCAGGTGGTGGGATGACAGTAAGACAATTGTTTTGGGACACACAGTGTGGAAGGGACACAGAAGGAACAGAGTGGGAGCGAGGTGGCAGAGAGGCTGCCCATGGTGACAGAGTCTGCTGTGGGGAGAGGTGGAGTTGCTGAGGATGTTGTTGACGTTCAGTTTTTATCTACAAAGGCAATCTTTTTAGTTTTACCTAAGTATGGGTTTTGTGGTATCTTCGTATTTAGTACTTACTTTAACCTAATTAGGTCCTAGCTGAGGTGCTTATTTTTCTGCTGGAGCTGATATCTGGGTAACTCTCCAACTGAAGCCCCCTGCAGGGAATCCTGGGGCCTAGACAGCTGAGAAAGGCTCGTTGCTGGGTAAAGGGTGTAAGGATATAAACCAGCAGGATGTAGGTTTGATTCTTGATTTTTGCCTGTTACTAACCATGTGATTTTTGTCAAATTACCTAATATCTTAGTACTCAGTTTTGTTATCTGTTAAGTGGAGAAAAACAATGCCGCTGTAATTATTCAGGTTAAATGAGACAAAGGCACAAAAAAGTATTCAATAATTCCTCCTGCTATTATTCTCCCTATCCGAGGGATCTACCATGTTCTGCAGGCCAGGGCTGTTACTGCTTCATGCTGTAACATGGGTGATGAGTGATGGGTCCCTGTTTTCACACACTCTTATTTCAACCCACTCCTCTTTGGTGGCTTGGCACATCTCAGCCTCTCTGGTCCTGTAAGAATCCATAGGTAAGGCCCATGAGGAGAGAGGTTCATTCATTTTTTTTTTTTTTTGTGAGATAACCTCAAGTCTCATCTTTGTAAAGTGAGGGTGGTAAAAGCCATCTAAAAGGCTCTAGTTTCCATGAAGAGAGGAAAATATCCATTTTGTTCAACACCGTACCCAGAGCTTGGCACACAGACAGCAGAGTAAGTATGTTGGGAATGATATGGAAAGGCATCTAGAGGTGATGTTTCTTACTTTAAGAAACCCAGTATTTACATATTTGTATTCATTCATTTATAGAAGATACTCAAGTGTTCCACCTGAATGCTCTGCAGGGGGGAGTAGCATGCATGCATGTGTGCAGGGGATGGAACCCAGGGTCTTATGCATGCTAAACATGTCCTCTACCACTGAGCCACGACTCAGCGCTGGAGGGTGGTAAGATATAGTTGAGACCATTCTTTGGGCATTTGGGCCTTTACACTGTTGGTCCATTTGTACCTATGATCTGAGGATGATGAAAACTCAGGAGGCTCTCTGAAGTGTCTCCCTTTCCCCCTATCCTGAGAGGAGCCACCACAAGGGCAACCTTCTCTTTTGTTCCTCTGAGATTTGTGAGTGTGAGGGCAAAGGTGGAAAGGAGCAGCAGTGTGAGGAGGGGGAACCGGACGTGACTATAGTCTGTCCTGACAGAAATTCTTCCTCTGCAACTCCCCACCCTCCTTGGGATCTCTGGTTATCGGCTCCTCCCAGCCACAGGAATCCTGCCCTTGTTGGCAGAAATGTCCAGGAAGCATGCCCACAGGAACCACAAGTCATGAATCGGCAGACAGATAATTAACTGGGCAGGAGGGTGACTGAGCAGCTTCAGGGATAAACCACTTGGCTTACCCCTTCCCTATCTGCTGCCCACAGAGTGGCCTGCTACAGAATCCCATTCCCTCTTCTGCCTTCTCCCCAAGTGGGAAGAGCTATGTGCCAGCTGCAACTCAGGTCACTAGTGGATATGAACTTGGGAGCCAGGAATAACACGGTTCAAGGAAGCTGCTGCTTCTCTGTGCAGACTGCGAGCATTTAGTGAAACTTGAGACTCTTCAGCAAAAATGATAAAATCTACCTTTCTCTCCATGCACACAGTGTCTCCAGAAAACCTCCACACTTTTTAAAGAGTTAGGCTCGGGTCTGGGGAGATGGCTCAGTGGTGACGAGCACTTACTTCTCTTGCAGAAGACCTGAATTCAGTACCTGGCACCCACATGTTGACTCACAACTGTCTGTAACTCCAGTTCTATGGGATCTGATGCCCTTTTTTGGTCTTCACCAGTATTGCATACATATGGTACAGAAACACACGTGCAGGCAAACACTCATAAAATAAAAATAAATCTTTGAAAAAAGAGTTAGGGTTATTGAAGTATAATTTATATTCCATAAGTTCACCTTCAGTGTGGAATTCTTTGTATTTTGGCAAGGACATACAGTCAAGTAACTATCACCATAATGAAGATACAGAGTATTTGTACCATCCTAAGAAGTATCCTCCAGCTCCTTTGTAGTAAACTCTCTCTTCCTACCTCTGTTCCCTGGCAATCACTGATCTGTTTCCTGTCCTTATAGATCTTTTTATAGAATGTCATAGAAGTGAAATCATAGTGTGTATGTAGCCTTTTAAGTCTGGTTTCTTCCATGTGCCCCAATGCACTTATAATCCATCCATGTTGCAACACATATTAGTAACTCTGAGAGATTAATGGGGCTATCCTCTTCCTTCTGTAGTGAGATATTACCTTGAAAGTAGTGAGGCTAGATCCAGTAAACCCTGGAGGTGCATCCAGCTTTCAACTGGGGAGATATGTTTAAGCCATTAGATTTTCCAAC